AATTAAATTATAACTATTATTACACTTCTTTAAATATGCATTTTTATTACATATAAGACATCAGTTATGAATTTTATATGATTAATAACAAATTCCTGAATTACAAAAATAACAGAAATAACTAAATTATGTTTTTATTAAATTGCTAAATTATATGCAATATTTAAGATATATTAAATTTATTTTAACCGTCAGAAGACAATACAATTGTCTATAATATGTCGTAAAAGAATTAAAACATAATTGTTTAATAGATTTTATTTTAATTACAATAATTTAATTTCTGAGCAGAAATTATTTTCAAAGAGAATTCTAATAATATATCATTTAATCCTAAAATAAAGCCAAAATTGGAGCAAAACTAAAACATCAAAAAAACTCTTACTCTTTAATTATAAACTAAATTATTCCCACAATTAAAGTGTAATCTTTTTATAACCAATTTATTTCAATTAAACTCATTGTATTAAAAATATTCATAAAATTTTAATATTAATTATTTGTAATCAAACGATTTGAAAAATCACGAATTTTCTGCCGAAAATTAAATATTAATATATTATTTAAATTATTAAATGTTAATAATAATAATAAATTACAAATACACTATTTCAATAACAAAACAATATTTTTTAAAATCTGCATTTGAATACATTTTCACATCATTTCGAAACCATTGCCTAAATATTCAAAAGATGTGAAAATGAAGACAACATTTAAAAGTACATTAAAATTAAATAATTATAACTTATTTCATAATAATTTGGCTTTAAATCAAAGGTAAAAGTCGTATTAAATTTAATAGTGATATAACTCTTATGCAATACATGTATTATTTACAAACAGTTTTGTATATAAAATGCAATTGTTTGATGAGAAGTATAGTCTAAAATTTAGACTCTAAACTAGTTTTCATTATAATAATAATTAAGTTTTACATTTTGATTATATTTATGTAAATTTATTCAAAAATATTTGTTCACACAAATGAAATATTTTATTCAAAATATCGTGATTTCTATTTTCACAATAAAAACAACAGATATTCATATAAAAAATTTCGCCTAATTATAGCTTTGAATGAATTTTGTTTATTTTGTCCCAAAAATAATATTAAAGTTAGGAAATTGTATTCCGATATATATGAGGGAAATATTGGAAATATTTGGCAAAAACAGCGCATTCTTATGAAATACCAAAGTTTCTATGAAAATAGGTCTGACAATAGGAGAGGACTGACAGGTCTGACCCATAGGTAGACCATAAAGACTCAGACTATACGAGAGAGAACTGAAGCCAAAGTGGACTCAAACAAAGGTTTGGGTCAAAGAACGAAGTAATAGCTGTGAATATAGTGAACACCTGTTAAGCGGTTTCAGGTTTTTATTCAATTGTCGTTAAGTTATTTAACACATAATCTATTTGTTGCCAATAATATTGGCTCTCATTTGTGCAATATTTTTGGTATAATCACTGAAATATTTTCTTTTAGTTATCGTTACAAAAATAGTAATACAAAAAATGAGAAGTGATTTATTGTAAGGAATTTCAATTCAATTAATGTAAATGAATCGGAAATGAAGGACAAAGACATATGAAATACTGGTTTTTAATAGAGTTTAGTATTTGAGAAATTATTTGTAGAAATAGACAAACAATGTATTAAAAGTTATATAAAACAAACAAAATTCTTATAAGAGATTAAGCGGAGAGTTGGGAGGCGGAGGGCCGTAGAGGGCCATAGAGGGTGTATAATGTGGGCAATGGTAAAGTTGAAGTAAATATTGAATATACTCACATCCGCATTTTGGTGACGCTCTGGTTTAGTGCACTTAACACTGATCTCAACACAACGCGAGTGTGTTGTGGCAAAAGGTATAGTGACTGCAACTCACGTATTATATAACTCACAGGTATAGCAAAGGTATAGCAACGACGAGAGCGTTACTCAAAAGCCAGTGTCGATACTACCAGTGTATCCCTCGAGCGACTGATGCCCTGAGAAAAGTAATGCTAAAAACTTTTCATCCGTTAAACTCGCTTCAGGCCAATGAAACTTCGCGTAAAAGCATTGCATTTCGTAATTATGTTTGCCGTATGCCGTCGTATATAACTTTATATACTATATGTATACATACTGTGGAACTTCCATATAAGAAACGGTCAATTATAGAATAATAGTTTTTTATTGAGACCGGTTAGCTATAAAAAAAATGGCGAGGAATTTTGTAGCTTGGTAAAATTTAATAAATATTTAATATGGTAACTTTTTATTTATAATAGCATTTAAATTTATTATAGTTCTTAAGAGTATTGAAATGAGAATTACAAGTTTTATACGTAATTTTAAACCATATGTCATTCTAAGCTTTTAAAATTTAAATTATAATGAAATATGATTAAAATGAGATGAATAATGTTTGTTTCAATTTTAA